TTTCCAGGTGCCCGGCGGGACATGACGAAGCCCCAGGGGGAGTTTGTTGGGGACAAAGAACCAACACCCAAATCGTAATAATTCGGCACGCCAGGCACCCATTCATAAATCAAAAGAGGGCGGCGGATCGAAGACGCCTACGGCGAATCACCGCCGCCCCTTGCCTTTTTGGAAGCGCCTATGTGGCCGAACGTTGAGGCCAGACCTGCCAAGCTATCGGACCATATGTTCCCCGAATCGGTTTGGAAAGCCTTCGGGGAACACATGGGCATCCTGAAGGTCATCTTGGCCGCTTGGAGACCATTTGGGGTCTTTCGGGCCTTCTTGGGGGACGTCTTGGAGGGCTCGTGGGCCGTCTTGGAGGCCATCTTGAGCGTCTTGGAGGCCTCTTGGGCCGTCTCGGGGGCCTCTTGGGGCCGTCTTGGGCGCCTCTTCTTGGGCCGTTCTGGGGCCATCTTGGAGGCCTCTTGGGCGATCCTTGGGCGATCTTTGGGAGCTCTTGGGCCGTATCGGGCCGTCGGGAGGCCGAAACAAAGCAAATGTCAAAATCCTTCAAAAACCTTCGGATAATCACTCTTTTCGACTTTTCTGGCCTTCCTGGAGGCCCTCTTGGAGGCCTCTTGGGCCGTCTTGGGCCAGCTGCGAGCCACCTTCGGCCATCTTGGTGGGCTCCTGGCCCGTCTGACGCCGTCGGAAGCCGTTTCGGGGGCCTTTCTGACCCGTCTTTGGACCCTCTTGGGGTGCTCCAGGGCCGTCTTAGAGGCCATCATCTTGGGCGTCTTCGAGGCCTCTTGGGCCGTCTTGGCGCCCTCTTGGGGTCGTGTTGGGGGCCTCTTGCGCCGTCATGGGGCCATTCTTGAGGCCTCTTGGGCGATCCAAGGGCGACCTTGGCGGCCTCTGGGGCCGTCACTGGCCGTCGGAAAGCCGAAAAGGCGCAATTGCCAGAATCCCTGAAAAACCTATGGAAAATCAATGATGTCGGCCTCGTCGGGCCTTCCTGGAGAAACTCTTGGAGGCCTCTTGGGCCGTCTTGGAGGCCTCTTGCGGGCCTTTTGGGCCGTCTTAGACCGTGTTGGGGCCATCTTGGGCCGTCTTGGGTGCATCTGGGGCCATCGCCATGTTTTGAGGATGTCCCGAGCGAAACGGCCGTTTTTGGCGATGGTAACCGGGTCTTCGGGTGGCCGGCGGGACGCGCCAGAGCCCCAGGGGGAGTTCATTTGGAAAAAGAGCCAAAGCCAAAACCGAGAGGGTTTAGCACGCCAGGCACCCTTGTGATGAATCGACAGGGGGCGGCGGATATAGTGGCCTTCGGCCCATCCCGCCACTGTGCTCGGGTTGTTGGTCAGAGTCCTTAGGAATGCTCTTTGGGCGCTCTCGGGGGCCTCTTGTGAGCAGTCTTGGGGTCTCTTGGGAGCCTCTTCGGGGCCTCTTGGGAGCCTCTCGGGGCCTCTTGGGGATCTCTTAGGGGCCGTTTGCTGTCTCCTGGGGGGCCCTCGGGGCCGAGGGCTCGAAATGTCTGCTCCGTTCCCAGATGGGCCCCCTCTTGGGTCTGTCTTTGGGCCCAAGAGTGCCTTCTGGGCCGTCTTAGGGGCCCTCTTGGGGACTTCTGGTGCCGTTTTGGGGGTTTGGGGGGCCGCGTGGGCCGTTTCGGAGAGTCGGAAAGCTGCAAAGGCGAGAAGGCCAAAAATGCTCGAAAACCTCCATCAAATCAGGGCCCTCTTGGGACGCCTCTTGGAACACTCTTGGGAAGTCTTGGGGGCCTTTTGGGCTATGTTGGGGCCATCTTGGGTGTATTGGGGCACTCTTGGGCCTTCTCGGAGGCATCTTCCGCCCTCTTGGGCGCTTTTTGGGCCCATGTTTGGCCGGCTGCGCTACCAGAGGACGCGCGCGACATGCCAGGGGAATCCCCGGAAATCCCATGGAATCCGCGGAAATCCTTTGAAATGTGCGTGAACCTGGTGGCCCGGGCCCTTGAACAAAAATTATTAAACCTTACAAATCTGAATTTCTCATGGAACCTTGGGGCTCTCCACTACATGCTGCAGGCACGGTGGCGGATTAATGCTGGATCGAGCGTCAGTAGGATTCCATGAATGGGAGCAAACGGTTTGAATATGCCCCCCCCTCCGGGGGCTTCAAAATGAATGAGTTGGGCAAACTAGTAAAATCCAGCTGAGTGAATTGATGTTTTAATCGTCTGCCCCCCCGGCAATTGTTCTGCCGTCGTCGTCGTCGTCGATTACAGCGGGCCCACGTAGTACACCCCCACCCCCGCCATAGTGCATCCGCAGTGCATCGTCGTCGTCACCGTCGTCGTCCGTCGTCCTCGTCCTGCTCCTCGTCTTCGTCGTCGTCCTCATCCTGTCGTCGTCGTGGTCCTCGTCTTCGTCGTCGTCCGTCGTCGTTGCCGTCGTCTTCGTCGACGTCGTCGTCGTCGTCGACTTCATCCTCGTCCTCAGCCTCGTCCTCGTCGTCTTCGTCGACTACAGCGGGCCTACGCAGCACGCCCCCCCTCACAGGGTATCCGCAGTGCGTCGTTGGCGTCGTCGCCGTCGTCCGTCGTCGTCGTCCTCGTTCCGTCCTCGTCCTCGTCCTCGTCATCTTCGTTGCCGTCGTCGGCTACAGCGGGCCATAGGGCCATAGGGCATCCGCAGGCATCCGCAGTGCGTCGTCGTCGTCGTTGTCGTCGTTGTCGTCGTCGTCCGTTGTCCTCCTCGTCCTCGTCCTCGTCCGCATCCTCGTCCTCTTTCGTTGTCGACGTCGTCTTCGCCGTCGCCCTTCTGGTTGGCGCAGTCGTTCTCGCGGACGACCGCGGCAACTGGGAAGAGGAGGAGTAGGAGGAGGAGGAGGAAGCGGAGGAGGAGGAAGAGCAGTAGGAGGACGGGTAGGGGGAGGGGAAGGGGGAGGAGGAGGAGGAGGAGGTCAAAAATTTCTTCACGCTTCGCGTATCCCCACCAGCCCATCTCAAAACAGCAACTCTTGCGAAGCATGCCGACAGTCTTGTTTTTCAGGCGTGTTTCCGCCTGCCCCCGCATATCTCCCCTGTTCCTCCTTCCTCCCGCCTCCTTGTACATCCTCCTTGTGGTGGGAGCGGGAGAAGGACGAGGCGGAGGAGGAGGGAGAGAAAGCGGTGGGAGGCAAGAGGGATTTAGCGGAGACGACGACCACAGCGATGATCCTAACAACGACGACGCACCCGACGACGACGACGATATCGACCGCGACGACGACGACGACACAACCGCGACGACGACGACGACGACGACGTCGACGACGACGACGACGAAGGCGGCGGCGACGACGACGACGACGACGACGACGACGACGACGACTGGTGGGAGTCGTTGGGGCCCCTCGTGGGGTGAGTCGTTCGGCCCCATCGTCCTTGTGTGAGTCCTTCGGGCCCCTCTTCCTGGTGTGAGTCGTTCGGGCTCCTCGTGGTGTGAGTCGTTCGGGCCCCTCGTCCTGGTGTGAGCCGTTCGGGCTCCTCGTGGTTTGAGTCGTTCGGGCCTCTCGTCCTGGTGTGAGTCGTTCGGGCCCTTCTTCCTGGTGTGAGTCGTTCGGGCTCTTCGTGGTTTGAGTCGTTCGGGCTCTTCGTCCTGGTGTGAGTCGTTCGGGCTTCTCGTGGTGTGAGTTGTTCGGGCCCCTCGTCCTGGTGTGAGTCGTTCTGGCCCCTCCTCCTGGTGTGAGTCGTTCGGGCTGGTCGTGGTGTGAGTCGTTCGGGGCCCTCGTCCTGGTGTGAGTCGTTCGGGCTCCTCGTGGTGTGAGTCGTTCGGGCGCCTCGTCCTGGTGTGAGTCGTTCGGGCCCCTCCTCCTGGTGTGAGTCGTTCGGGCTCTTCGTGGTGTGAGTCGTTCGGGCCCCTCGTCCTGGTGTGAGTCGTTCGGGCTCCTCGTGGTGTGAGGCGTTCGGGCACCTCGTCCTGGTGCGAGTCCCAGGGGCTTCTAGGAGCGTCTTGGGTGCCTTGGGAGAGCCTCTTCGGGCCTCTGGGGAGCCTCTTGGATGCCGTTTGGGGCGTCTTGGGGGCCTCTTGGCGGCTCCAGGGGCTTCCAGGAGCGTCGTGGGTGCCTCGGGGGAGCCTCTTGGGGCCTCTTGGGGGCCTCTTGGGGGCATCTTGGGGGCCTCTTGGAGGCCTCTTGGGGCCTCGTGGGGCTCTCTGGGAGGGGTCTGGGAGGAATCTTGGGGCCATCTGTCGGGCGATCGATCACAGATGAGGCGAGCACTTTTCTGCCTCCCCCCGTCGGGGCCAGAATCCTTGTGAGGGGTGTCGAATTTTAGCCCTCCCAGGAGTCGGAAAAGACCCCTTCCAACGACCCGCGGGGCGCCCTCTCCAGGCCCAGGGGGAGGGGATAGGGGGAGGGGTAAACCCCTCCCCGAAGGGGAAGAAGGGGGTTGAGAACAGAGCGGGCTCTCTAAACCACTCACGCCCAAAGGGCTGGTGGGATTTGGCGGCCTCGTGGGTTCCCCCAGGCCCCCCAGACAGCCTGGGATTGTTCGCCTTCCGTCGGCCTGCTTCCCCCCTCGCCTATTGTGGGGGCAACCCGTCCGGCGAAATTATTTGTTGAATCATCCGCGCTAGAATCTCTGTTTAGATCGATTGCTCCCATTGAGGTTGGACCCATCTGCAGTGCGATTCTATTAGAGTTTGATCGACCCAGTTCGAACCCCCCGCCTGCCCCGCCCCTGTGGAGAACCCCCCGGGGTAGAGAGGTCGGTGTCCAGGAGGGGAGGGGGGGCCGTTTCTCTGGGCGCTTCAAATGTATAGGATCCCCCCTTCCCCTGGGTTCTGACGTGTCCAGGGATTTCTGCCCAAGTAAGCGTCCACAAAGCACATTCGCTCGACAAGTCTGACATGGATCCGACGCGGATTCGGCGCGGATAGCGGGCGCACTCGGACAGGCGAGGTCCCCCCAAGATGCAACATAACAAATAGATGCCTCCTCTTCCATCCTTTTTCAGGAGTTTCGAAGTATTGCAGGATCCCCAGGGGGGCGGCGGCCAGGTGCTGAACTGCCTGGCCGAGGAGTCGCCCCCTGGGCGGATTGCCTCCACCGCCGCCGCCGCGGCTGCCGTCGTCGCCGACGACGCCTCCGCCCCTCGTCGTCGTCTTCGTCGTCGTGGTCGTCGCCGTGGTTTCCGTCGTCGTCGCCGCTGCCGCCGTGGTCGTCGTGGTCGTCGCCGACCCCGCCGTCCTCGCCGTCCTCGCCGCCGTCGTCTCCGTCGCCATGGCCGCCGTCGTCGTCGCCGTCGTCGCCGACGTCGTCGCCGTCGTCGCCGGCGCAGTCGTGGCCGCCGGCGCGGTCGCCGCCGCCGTCGCGGTCGCCCTCGTCCGCCTCCACTGTTCTCGTTTCTTGCTTCTGTTCCTCTCTCTCTCTCTCTTTCTCTGTCTCTATCGCCTCGCGCTTCCCACCCTCCAACCTCCCCTCTCCGCCCTGCGGCGAAGACTAGGCGAGAGGAGGAAAGAGAGGCGAGAGGCAAGCTGATCAGGAGCGCTCGCAGCACATCTGACATCCTTCCTCCCCATTCCCATTGCGCTGAATCCAAGAATCTGGCGGCTTCGGCCCATACCGCCACCGTGCCAGAGTCGTAGTCAAAACACCTTGTGGAGTCTTCCTTGGGTCTCTCGTGAGGCCTCTTGGGGGACACTTCACCTCGTCCTTTGAGTCTATGGCCTCGTTCTCCTGGAATTTCACTGCGTGCAGCTTTTTCTTGTATCCTTGTCTCTCCTCCTCCCTCTCTCCCTCCCCCGGGTAACAAACAATGACATTAACATGAAAACTCGGAGGTCCGCGCGGATTTCTTGGATCGGCGTTGAACCCCCTCCCTGGCGCGCGGAGCGCGCCTGGAGCGGCGCCAGGGGCGCCGCCAGGGGGTTCCAGTGCCGATCCGAGAAATCCTCGCGGACCTCCGATCTTCTAGGTTTATGTCATTGTGGTTGGCGACCGGCGACAGAAAGCCCAGCAGAGCAGAACGCACTGAAGCAAGCTAAAGTGGACATGGCTCAAAGCCGCTCCCTCCCTCCCTTTACCTCCTCCCTCCTCCTTCTGCTCGTACCATCCTCCCCCTTGCTCCCGCCTCCTTCGCCTGCTGCTGCTGCTGCTGGGCTTTGCCCTCCCCCCTATCCCCCCCCCATCCCCTCCCCCCTCCTGCCACTGCTGCTTCTCTTCCAGGGGGGGGGAGAGCGGAGGAGGAGAAGCGAGGAGCAGGGAGGAGGAGGTGGGGGGGGACAGGGGAGGGGCTTGGGGACGGGGGTGGAGCAGGAGGCGGCGAGGAAGGAGAAAGAGGTGGGGACATGATGAGGAGGAGAAAGCGACCACGTCCACTCTGGTGCAGCGGGTGTTGATCGCGGGGCGGACGAGCTTGATGGCGGGAGAATGCCGGAAGCGAAGATGGCCATCATGTTCTGGCAAGGAATGCACGGGTCGCGGACCGTGATGACGATGATGGTTATGGTGATGGTGATGATGGTGAGGATGGTGGTCATGATGATGGTAGTCGTAAGCGAAGAAATAGTGGTTTCCTCCTGCTCCACCTCCTCTTCCTCATTCTCCTGATGGTGATGTTGGTGAGGATGGTGGTCATGATGATGGTAGTCGTAAGCGAAGAAATAGTGGTTTCCTCCTGCTCCACCTCCTCCTCCTCATTCTCCTGATGGTGATGTTGGTGAGGATAGTGGTCATGATGATGGTAGTCGTAAACGACGAAATAGTGGTTTCCTCCTGCTCCACCTCCTCCTCTCCTCCTCATTATCCTGATGGTGATGTTGGTGAGGATGGTGGTCATGATGATGGTAGTCGTAAACGACGACATAGTGGTTTCCTCCTGCTCCACCTCCTCTCCTCCTCATTCTCCTGATGGTGATGTTGGTGAGGGTGGTGGTCATGATGATGGTAGTCGTAAACGACGACATAGTGGTTTCCTCCTGCTCCACCTCCTCCTCTCCTCCTCATTCTCCTGATGGTGATGTTGGTGAGGGTGGTGGTCATGATGATGGTAGTCGTAAACGACGAAATAGTGGTTTCCTCTTGCTCCACCTCCTCTCCTCCTCATTCTCCTGATGGTGATGTTGGTGAGGGTGGTGGTCATGATGATGGTAGCCGCAGGCCAAGGGAAGCAGAGGCCTGCGCGGACTTCTCGGGCCTGGCGCTGGGCCCCCCCCCCCTCCTGCCGCGCGGCGCGCACCAGGGGGGACGGCGCCGGAGGCGCCGCCAGGGGCTCTCCAGCGCAGATCCAGCCAATCCATGCGCTCGGCATCGCTCGGACGTGTGCGTTTTCCCTTCGGCGGGGACCATCGAGGAGCATCCTGGATCATTTGGCGAAAAAGCCACGCACGAAACCGAAAAAAAAACAGGGATGGACGTCCGAGTGATGGCCAGTCCGAGAGGGTGCAGTGGAGACCCATGCCAAGAAACAGCCTGCTTGCCTCCAGGGCGCCCTGGGTTTCTGGGGTGTCGATGGTGTTGCCATGGGCAGCGTGGCGTCCCCGCGCCGAAAATCGATGGACGGCCTGTGGTTCCGGAGGATCGGCGGCGAGCCCAGGGGGGAAGGCACAGGGGGTGGGCCCCCTCGGGAGGTTCGGACGGCCTCCAGCCTTCCGAGGAGCTTTCGGACCCGCCGTCCAAAGGCAGGGGCGGCTGCTCAGCAGACCGGAGGGCCCCTGAGAAGCCCCGCCGCCTTCTGAGAGGGCTTGCCCCCTGTCACTCACCCCCCGGGCTCGCCGCCAAGAGGAGGAGGAGAGGGGGATGGGGCTCGAGCGTGGAGCATGGCTTGGCCTGGGTCCACAGACCCAGGTCCGGAAAAGCGAGCGGCGAAACGCAACAAGGAGAGCGGGGCATCCGCCATCGTCGCGGTGCAGCGCGCACCGAGTGGCTCCGACGTTTGCTAGGGAAGCGGCGCATGCGCACTCGAGCGCGGCACTCAGAGGCACGAGTATGCTCTGCCCCCACTTCCTGGCCTGCTGGGCATGACAACCAGCGGCCTGGCTCGAGGACGAAGAGGAACATGGGGATCGAGGGGGGCGCGGCGCGGCGGAGCCCGCTTCCGCGGCCGCGAGGAGCACGCGTTGGAGGAGTTCCTGGTGGCGCTGGACGAGCTGCTGGCCGCGAAGCTGGCGCGCGGGGGCGGGGGCTCGGGGGCAACGACGGGGGGGACGGACTCTCGAGGATCGAGGCTGGGGGTTTTCAGGCGGTTTCGTCGGTTCTCGGCGGCTTCCAGGCCTCGGGACGCTCTTCAGCAGCTCCGCCTCGCCGAGAGCGTTCCGGGGGTGCCCAGATCGTCCCCATCGGCCGCTGGAGAGCCGAGGTATGGCTCGAAAACCGAGGGGCAACGCCAGGGGGGGGGGGGACGGGCTCAGGGCCTAGCGCACCGACCCCCAATCGTCCATTGATCGGCGATGGGGGTCTCGACGTCCTATCTTTCTGCGACACGGTGCCCTCGTGGACCGTCTCGCGGGCCTCTCGGGGCCCTCTTGGTCCGTCTTGGGGCCCTGTTGGCTCCGAAAAAAACATGCGACAAGTTGCGAGAAACCCCAGGAGATTCGAGAGCGCCTAGCTGGGATGGTCTGAGTTCATATTAATGATGAACGATTGGGCCGAACCATACGTGAAGTGCACATCCCCAGGGGGGTCGATAAGTCCAGCCTCGGGGGGAGGCGGGCAAATTCCATTTAAGAAGAGAGAAACCATGTGGTACAATCTATGAGGCGCAACTAATGTTTTTGCTCTGAGTTGTCAACTCCACTGCTCGCGCAATCGCCCCACCCGCCCACTCGCAAGTTAGTTTGCAAAACCCATGCGGCTGCGATTGCGATGACTGCTCGGCGCTGGTTGGCGCATCGCCGCGGCCGCGCGAGCCCACGTAGGCTGGCCTGCAGAGAGGCCACTTAGTCTGGCGCGACCGACGCGCAGGAGTCGGTGAGTCCGGCCAGCGCGTTATCATGGCGACGTCGACAACGGCAGGCACGATGATGATGATGATAGCGACATTCGTGATGATGGTGACGATGATGACGGCAAGATCAATGACGGCGCCGATGTTGATCACGCTCATGGCGATGATGTGTCCACCCGTCGGTGATGAAGCTTGGCGAAAGATGTTGACATGTGCGCGCGGCCGACGCGCGCAAATGGCCGGCATGGTATGATGTAACAGGGGTGGTGCCCCCCCACCCCCACGCACGCGCGCAAGGGCGTCCGCCCGTTTGGCTACAATTGATGGACATATTGGAAAAATGGTTCTTCGAAGTATTCGTAACTGCGCGCGCAATTCGTTTGAAACATCCGGTTAAAAGCCATGTAATATACATTCATCCATACATCTATCCGTACATACTGACATGTTTTCGGGACGACCGGATTTCAAAAATCTTCGGGACCTGCAATTTTTGAAGGATTGCGGGATGCGCGCGCAACGACGCGCGCGTGCGCATTTCGTCATATATTTTCGCGAGGTTCCAGCTGACGGATGAGTTGTCGTAAACGGTTGTGCGCGCATTTTTTTTTGAGGGATGATGAGGAGGGGATTACCGGCCTAGCTGGGATGGTATGAGCTCATATTTGGATTGAGCGTTGGGGCAGAATCGTATGTATATTGTACATCCCCCAGGTGCATCGATAATCCAGGGGGTTCGATCCACATTCGCCTGTGGAAAAAAAAGGTATGCGAGGCCGCGACAAGGCGGTGACGGGGCGGCGACGGCGGCAAAGTAGCCGTCAAACCGACTGACAAGCCCGGGCAATGGGCGGCGACGGCGGCAACGTAGCCGCCAGACCGACTGACAGTCACAGGCGACGGGCGGCGACGAGGCGGCGACGGCGGCAACATAGCTGCCAGACCGACCGCATGCCCACTTCCGTAGAAGAGAAGTAAAACCCCTTAGGTGCAGGTCATTGTTTGATGAGTGTATAAGTCACCGGAGTATGTATAATATACATATATATACACACAATTTGTCATTTAGACCTATGTATATATAAACATGTACATATATACATATATGTGTATACATGTACATATACATCTATACATGGAATTATACATATATAACGTGTATTGTGAATGCATTTCTACCAGGCAAATGGAGGAGGAGAAGAAGAGGAGGAACGGAAAGGACCCGTGGCGCACCTAGGTATCCCTGGAGGCCTTCCTGCGCGAGGTCCGCGACGCGAGCCGACGGCAGTTCATGTGCAGGACGCAGAGACAGAAGGCCACCCGGGTCGGCGAACTTTGGCGGTGGGTCGGGGGGGGGGAAGGCATGGGCAGTGCCAGGGGAGAATCGGCTCAGGAGGGTACGCATCGACCCCCGGTCGCCCACTCATCGCCGAGGGGGGCCGCTAGCCCCACCACGCCCAGGCGTGCTGAGGGCGGACAGAGGCCGGAAACAAGCAGCGACATAGGAGGGAGGAGGATGAGGAGAAGGAAGATGAGGAGGACAAGGAGGAGGACGAGGACGAGGAGGGCGAGGAGGGCGAGGAGGACCAGGAGGACCAGGAGGACCAGGAGCACCAGGAGGACCAGGAGGACCAGGAGGACCAGGAGGAGGAGGAGGAGGAGGAGGAGGAGGGAGGAGGAGAAGCATAAAACTCGCAGGTCCGCGCAGATTTCTCGGATCGGCGCTCAACTCCCCCGGCGGCGCCGCCTCTCCGCCGCGGGCGCGCTTCCAAGGCATCCGCGCGGGCCTCAAGAAATTGATGCTTATGCCGTTGGCTCTTCTAGTTAGGCCTCCAAGATGGGGTCCGAGTAGATGGGGTCACAGGAGCGCGCCGCATCGCCGATGCGGCTCGATGCGGAGCCCGATTTGCCTCACGTCGACGTCGCCGATGCATCGCCCACGTCGACGATGCATCGCCAGTGCATCGTCGGTGCATCGCCGATGCATCGCCGATGCATCGCCGATGTGTCGGCGATGCGTCGTGAGCGTCCAACCCCATTTAGGAGGCCTCTATCTAGAGGGGACATGCTTTCTCAGGCGGCTCAGAAGGCCTCCGCAGCCTTCTAGGAGGCGCCGCCGCTGGAGCCACAAGGCTCTTCTCACAAGGCCGGATGGCTTCTGGGGAGACCCGTCGCCGTCTATCAGGGGGGACAGATAGGCACAAACACAGATCAACGTCGGTATCCATGAAAAGATGGAAACATATTGAAAATGGAGAGAAAGAGGAAAGTCCATAAAGCAATGCCAACATAGGCGGGATCCTGGAATTTGTGTCTAGTTCTGTGTGTCTCCCTGGGCCCCCTTCTTCTGAGAAGGCCTGCCCCCCCTCGAAGGCCTGCCCCCCCTCGCTCTTCCCTTCCGCAAGCCGCCGCGACGTGCGACGACGGGTGTGCCGACTGCTCACTGGGGAATGTGAGGAGGGGGAGGAAGAGGAGGAGGAGGAGGAGGAGGAGGAGGAGGAGGAGGGAGAGGAGGGAGGTGGAGAGGGGAGGAGGAAGAGGAGGATGCGCCGCGTTCACGCGGCCCGACGAAGGCACAGCAGCACAAGTCGGACGGGACTGGGACGAGGATAAATCCTCTTCAGAGCGTTCCGGAACGCTCTCAGAGCGTTCCGGAACGTTCTGAGGAGGCCGCGGCGCCCGATATGTCCTCCAGATCCGCCAGATCTCAGAGATTCTCGATTAATCCTCACCCGACTTCATCTTCGACAAGGCTTCGTCTTACGAAGCATCAGAGCGAGGGTGCCAGCACGGTCTTACTTCGGTCCCTGGGCGTGCGTGGCCGTTGTGGGCCCGTTTTTGCGTCACGGGTGGTCCTGGGCGACAGTTTCCTGCGCCGCCGCATCCTCATTGTTATCCGCAGGTGCGGGCTGCTGCGTGAAGATTCAGAGATCCTCACGGATGTCTAAGATCTGCGCTGGACCCGCTTCTCGGCACCTCCGAGAGTTGTTTATGCTGATGTTTTTCGTTCTGGTGGCAATGACCTTCGCACGGGCGTTCAAGATTGAAAAACGCCAGTGGCCCAGAGTTGGCCGGCATCGAATGGTCTGCCCTACTGGAGAGACACAGCCGTCGATGGTTAAAAGATGGGTCTTGAGGGATGAAGTCTTGAGGACGAGGTGCCTCAAACAACGTAAATCCACCCTTGGATCCCCTTCCTATCCTTAGGACCCCCTCCCTGAGGACCCCATTTTTGAGCCAACGAAGTCGGTCAAGGCGTGCCCAAGGAATCAACGTCCTTGTCGGCACGACAGGAGCCAGCCGCAGCATGCGCAAGACGGATGCTTGGAGGGAAAAAGAGAGAGAGAGAGAGAGAGAGAGAAACATGTAGAGAGAGAGGGCTGGAAGGAGAGAGAAGAGGGAGGGTTGGAGGGAGAGAGACAGGGAGGGAGTGTTGGAGGTTGTTAGAGGGACGGGTTGGAGGGCTATACATACATACATACATATATATATATACAGTTGTATACATATATATATATATATAGACGTACATACATACAAATGCACACATAAATATACATAGACACGCAGATTTATACAGATACATGTATGCTTACATATTTGTATGTGTGGTCGCCCCCCCACCCCCCACCCCCCACCCCCCACCCAAACAAAAACCTTTCGCTGTTATGTTTGTTGCTCCGTCGTCTGTGGTTGTTTCGCCGTGGGTGTTTGTGCCCCCATCTCGTTTGGTCTCATCGTCTGTCTGCTCCCTTCACCGCTGTCTCTCCTCTCATTTCTACTGGGCGGAGATCTCCGCTCGCCGTCCCAAGGGGATGCCCGAAAAAGAGGCAAAAAAGGAACAAACAATGTTTTCCTCTCCGAGGGTGGGGAGGAACAAAAAAGGAAAAACAACTCTTCTCCTTTTTCCCATGGGGGGGGGGGGGGCAGGAGGAGGAGGAGGCGGATGTGGAGAAGGAGGCGGAGGAGGAGGAGGAGGAGGAGGAGGAGGAAGGGAGCCCGCCGCAGGAACGAAGAACGAAAAAGAGGAAACAAAACGAAGCATATGGAAAAAGCATGTATTTTTTCTCCGGGGGGGGGGGGGGGGAGAAAACGAAACAGCTTCCGCCTCCGAGGGTTGGGAGGAGGAACAACAGGAGCACATCTCCTCTCCTTTGTTCCCAGTGGGCAACAGGAGCACGAGGAGGAGGAGGAGGAGGCGGCCGTGGAGGAGGAGGCGGAGCAGGAGGGGGACGGGAAGGAAGGACGGGAGGCGGTGGACGAGGAGGACGCGGAGGCGGAGGGCGGGGAGGTGGAACGGGAGGTCGCCGCAGGAACGAAGAGCGCAAAAGAGAAATAAACATAACAATACATCAAAAGCCCTTTTCACATCGAAGAAGAGGAAAACCGTCAAGCGCGGAGAATTAAAAAAGAGGAACATTGCGTTCCACGCCTCCAGAGGCGAAGACGGAAAAGGATGTTCCTCTGTTTTCCTCCTCCGCGCTTGGGATTGAAGCTTTTGTTTTTTTCCTGCGAAAACAGGAGTATGTTCCTTTTTGTTGTTTTTGATGTTTCGTTCTTCGTTCCTGTAGCGGCCTCCCTTGCGCCTCCTGCAGGAAACGGCAGATGACGGACCGACCACTTGCTCGTCCTCCCTCCTCCTCCTCCTCCGCCTCTTCTTTCTCCTCCCCAGGCCATGAATAGCTCCCCCCAGGCCATCAGTAGCTCGCAAGTTCTATGCCTACCAACGCACGAGTAAGGAGATCCTGGCCTGGTTGGACAAAACGCGCTCTGAGCTACCGGCTCGGGCCTCCATCGTGTCCGGAAGGGACATCAATGATTGCGCGTGCATCCCGATGGCCAACGCCATAGTTCAGGATCCGAGCCCCGCAGGCCCCCTCTACCCCGCCCGGGAGCACCATGCCATGACACTGATCAGGGATTTCCTGGATCAGCAGAGCCCGTGCCTTCCGAATACATCTCCTGGGTGGGCAGAACACGTGCTACGGCAACAACGCCAGCACCCGCATCGATTACCTCAGTGGCCCTCGCTCGCAGCACTCTGCGCTTCAGATCCCCAGGATTCTGCCGCGCGAGGGCCGGGCACTTCAGATGGTGCCAACGCGCCGTCGCTGGGACCACTGGCCACTTCAGATCGTAGTCCGGTACTTGTTGGAACTCCCGCGCGTCCCTGTCCTCAAAGCTGGTTCCTGGAATTGGGACACATTGGTAGCTGCCGCTGCGGATGGGGGCATGAGGGCCCCCGGGAGACGCTTCAAAAAACTGAACTTGAGGATTTCGGAGCATCATGAAAGAGGTCTCAAGGCGTTTTCGGGAACAGGCTTGAATCGGAGGAGTTCCTGAGTTCCGGGGAAGGAAATAGAGGAAGGAGGAGGAGGAAAGAAGAGGGAACACAAAGGGGGAGGAAGAGGAGGAGGAGGAGAAGGAGGAGGAGGAGGAGGAGGAGGACAACGGGTAGGAGGAGAAGGAGGACGAGGAGGATGAGGAGGAGGAGGAGGAGAAGGAGGAGGAATAGGATGAGAACGATGACGACGACGACGACGACGGCGACGACGACGACGACGACGACGAGGACGACGGGGTCGCCGACGCGCACTCTCGGGCCGCGCGCTCTCAGAAGGCGCCGGTTCAGACTTCCGACACTGCACGCAGCAACCTTGAAGATCGGCATCAGACGCCAATGAAGACTGAGGGCCTCCTGAGAGCGTTGGGCAGAAGCGGAGGAAGGATCGAGCGGGAGCGTCGTTATTTGCACGGGGGGGGGTCTACGGCGCCGAGGCACCGCCTGCACCCCGGGCCCCGCCCACTCCGGCCGCCTGAGGCCCCGCCTGCCTGTGCCCTGTCTCGCCAATCAAAGCTGTGCGCAGCCCGCCTACAGTGAGCGGCTTGAATAAGGAACACTTCCTTTTCTAAAGGGGCTCGGTCGTTCCTTAGGCTTGCATGCGTTATTCATCATTCCTTAATGCGTTGTTTGTTATGTATCGTTCCTTCTGCGTTACTCCTTGGAAAAATAAGGGGGAACTTCGTTCCTTATTCATCGTTCCTTAGGTCAGGCCGATGACTGTAGCTTTTAGCGGAAGAGGTTCGCTCTCGCCCCGCCGACCAAGACAGGGTGCCTACGGCGCCGAGGTGGGAGGGCCGGTCCTGAGTAAGAAACCAGGAGGTATCGCGCGGTGGCGCCGGTGTTGTGTGGGAAGGCCGGCTTCCGGCGGCGAGCAAAGAGCCGCGTCCCCGAGCGGAAGAGGAGGACGAATCGAGTGGGGGTGTTGTGGTTGCTGGGGGTCCAGTTTCGGCGCAAACCCCGAAGCGCCTGAGCGCGAGGCTGATCTTCAAGGGAAAGGCAGCCGGCGCCGAGGCGAGCGCGCCAGTGCGGATGTAGGGCACCGCACACTGAATAATTCTCCGATGTCTGATGTTCAACATGGACTAGGGAAGCTCTGGTCCAGGGCCTCTGGGAGTCTTGGGTAAAACCAGAGGGAGCAACGAGCGGGAGCCTCGTTGTTTGCAGGGGGTCGCTTGCGGCGCCGACGCGGGAGCGTCGGTCTTGAATAGAAGCAAACAAGTATCAAGCGGCAGCGCTGGTCTTGCAGGAAATTAAGCTTTCGGCAGCGAGCAAGAGCCCCAGTCCCATGTACAAAAGGAAAAAGTATCGAGCGGGAGCGTTGTTGTTGTTGTTTGGGGGCCGGCTTCGGCGCACCCCCGAAACGCCTGAGCGCGAGCTTCGATTTCAGAGGAAATACAGCCAGCGCTTAGGCGAGAGCGCCAAGGCGCTTTTAGGGGTTCCAGCAATAATGATTGTTCAATGTTCAACCATTCAATCATACGAAATAATAAATCAAAAATAATAGCATTAAAATAATATTTAATAAGTTATATACCATATAATGAGTTTACTCTTAAGTCATTGTGCAATACTACGATAACAACAATCAGCATCATAATCATAGTCATATTAATCATGCGAATAATCATCAGAACAGTAACACTCACATTACCACTGACAACATCAATAACAACGCGAACAACAACAACACCAACAACATCAATCATTATTGAGCGCGTATGTCCAAAACCATCGATATTTGCACTCTTCGTCTTCGATCGTACCCCCATTACGGGTATATTTTTCTTACTTGCAGCATTATTTCGTGCAGCCCCTTGGCAGTGGAAGAAAGGTCGGATGAAACGAAGGGACAAGGGCCAAGTGGGTCGTTGATACGCGCGCCCTGCATGAATCGCGCGGAAATCTCGAGGGATAGCGCGATTCCCAAACAAATCTTGGGGAAACCCACAGACAGAGCATGATCCCCTAAAGTCGAGGGCGCGGCGTCTGAATAAATTGCGTGGGAATCCCACGCGAGAGCGCGATTCTGGTATAAATTGTGAGGAAGTCCCGCTCGAGAGTTCGATTTGGGAATACACTGTCAGTTAGTATCATGCAGGAGCCGCTGTTGTTGTGAACCGAGGGCCAGGGGCACAGTTTGGTGACATGTTCTTTCCTTTGAGATATGATACATCTATATATATATATGTATATATATATATGTATGCGAGCCCCGGGAGACGCATTTTGAAATGAGCGACCCCCCCCCTCCAGAGCGAAGCTTGAGCGAGCTCAAGCCCACGCGGTCAGAAACTCACACGCCGGATCGGCAGATTTGTCCAGAGAAGTGAGAATGCAACAACAACAACAACAGCAACAGCAGCCGCAACAGCAGCAGCAACAACAACAACACCAACACCAACAATAACAATAACAACATCAACAACGGCAACAATCATTGTAATAATGGTCGCTCTTATCTGCTCGCGCGCCATTTAATTTGTATATCCTAAACCCTCGATGCCCGTCCCGTCATCTTCGTCTTCGACCGTACCCCCTTGGGGGGGGATATCTTTCTTACTTGTAAAGTGCGGTCCCTAAGGTATGGGAAGAGAGGACGGATGGAAGGAGGGCGGCACGCGTGTCGGGACGTGCTCAGCAGTTGCTTGGTGCATCGAGGCGGTTGTGTGCAAGGGGGCATATGCAGTGACGACCCCGGTAGTCATAGCAGGAACTTTTATCAGCGATCCGATCTCTTCCTTCACGGCGGAATCGATTGCTCTAGATGAAGCAGTCGAGGCTGTGAGGAAACTTACGCTTGAAATAGGCAGCCGGCCGTCCAACATATGACCTAGGCCTCGAGAAAGAAAGGAGGGGACAAGGGGGAGGGAGGAAGATGGAGCACGAGAGAGAGTAACAGGGGGGTGGGGGCTAGAAGCAGAAAATACGTGGCAGAGCCAGACGGGCAGATCGGGCAGGTAGACCTTAGCGGGCGGTTCGGGAAGGAGGGTTCCGGCGGCCAGGTCGAGCAGGCGGGTTGCTGAAGCGTGCGCCCTGCATGAATCGCGAGAAGGTCTTAAGCGACAGCTCGATTCCCAAATCAATCGTGAGGAAATCCACAGCGAGAGCGCGACTCCTGAATGTCGTGGGCGCGGCGCCTGAATAAATTGCGAGGAAGTCCCACGCGAGAGCGCGATGTCTGTATACATTGTAAGGACCTCCCGCTCGAGAGCGCGTTTAAATAGTAAGCTGTAAGGAAGTATCCGGCGGGAACCGTTGTTGTTGTAAACGGGGGCGAAAGAAACAATTCTGAGACCCAAGATAAACACCAGGGTGCGAGCCCCGGGAAGGGCTTTAAATATGAAAAGCACAATGTGCCTCGGAGGGGGGGGGCATGAACAACAATTATTTTTATAAATGAGCTCAACAGCAGCAACAACAGCAATCATTTTAAGTTTGTTCGTTGTTGTTTGCTCGCGTGCCATGCAACACGTAAATCCCAAGCCCTCGGTGCCCGCTCTCTTTATCTTCGACCGTACCACCTTTGGGGGATATCCTTCTTACCTGCAACGTGTATTTCGTGCAGCCCCTGAGGCAGGGGAATAGAGGACGGATGGAAGCAAGGGACAATGGGAAGGGATGAGGATGGAGCACTGGAGAGACTAGGAGGAGGAGGGCCAGGACAGAGAGAACGTGGCAGAGCCAGACGGGCAGATCGGGCGGGTAGACCCTACCAGGCTGGTCGGGAAGGAGGGCCCAGGCAGTCAGGTCGAGCAGGCGGGTTGCTGAAGCGTGCGTCATGCATGAATCGCGAGAAGGTCTTAAGCGACAGCTCGATTCTCAAATCAATCGTGAGGAAACCCACAGCGAGAGCGTGACTCCTGAATGTCGTGGGCGCGGAAGTCCCACATGAGAGCACGATTCTTGAATAAATCGTGAGGAAGTCCAGCGCGAGAGCGCGATTTGGGAATACGCGGTGAGGAAATATCAGGCGGGAGCCGTTGTTGTTGTAGTTCGGGGGCCAATTTTGCAGTTTGAGGAGGAAGACGTTCCCTTGTAATAAACAGGGTGCAAGCCCCAGGAAGGGCACTTCAGTTGAAAACACACCAGAAGGGGGGATCAACAATAGGTTTTTTCCATACTGAGAGTTCAACAATCCGCTGCGCGGAACCTCACTCCAGCCACGCGCCAAGGGACAGTGAATGACCGTTTGGCCCCCTCACTCTGAGATGTACATTATCTATATGTATACATACAGATTGAGAAAGAGGAGTGATGACAAAGAGGCAGAGCACCACGCACCACGCCGTGCACGCGAAATGTGCACTCCGGCGGGGGAAGTGCGGTAGAGCGTTGGGTATTCCACCAGGGGGGGGGCGGAGACCGTCGGCCGATTGTTGCCAGAAGCCCGTCTCGTCCTGGTCTTGTCCGCAGCGCGGAGATGCCAGGGGATGAGGTGGAGGGGGGGGGACTTGGCATAGCTCGGACGAAGACGCGACGGCTCAAGCAAGGCAACATTTGTCCAACTTGAAGCACCGCTCGGACGTGTGCATTTTTCGGCGAGGATTATCTGGGAGCATCTTGGGTCATCATGTGAAAATCAGACAAACGCACGAAACCGAAACATGCACAGGGAATGGGCGTCCCAACGATGACGAGAGGAGGATATGTGTATCACCTTCCTCCCTTCTTCCTCTGCAGGTTCATGGTGGGGGGGGGGGTAGGCCATTTAATCGTACTGTCTCCAGCTTTTTCTTTTCCTAGGAACATGGGCTTCGACCCTATTGGCCCCTAGGTTAGCGAGCGAGCGAGCGAGAAGGTCGAGGAAGATAGAAGACCCAGACATCCGACGTCGGGTTTCCCGGAGGTCTCGACCCCTTGCCAGGGAGTGGCGGTTCATGCCGTGTCGTTTTCTGACGGCCCCAGGGCCCCGTTAGGGCCCCCACAGCCAAATTGCCATAACATTTGTTTCTGTGATTGTTTGATCGCATCGCGCGGATGCCAGGGGAGGAGGCGGAAGAAGAGCAGGCGGAGGAGGAGGAGGAGGAGGAGGAGGAGGAGCATCGAGGAGGAGGAGGATCGAGGAGGAGGAGGAGGAGGAGGAGGATAGAGGAGAAGGATCGAGGAGGATCGAAGAGGATCGGACAGGAGCGCCGAGGCTGGACAAAAATCTACGTGCAGAGGGCCGCGCCCAGCAGCGCGCCTCCGATCGCCCCCGGGCAGGCCGCCGCCGCGGTGTGGGCCGCGCACCCCGCCGTCGGCTGCTGAAGCGCAGCCCGGCCGTCGGGGGTCCCGGGGCGGGGGGACACTGCGAGCAGGGGTCCGCCAGGGCGCCAGGTCTTGCAGGATCCTCCTCCTCCTCCTCCTCCTCCTTCTGCTGAAGTGTACTGGCAGTCCTCCTCCTCCTCCTCCTCCTCCTCCTCCTCCTCCTCCTCCTGTTCGATCCTCGTTCTCCTCCTCCTCCTCATCCTCGATCCTCCTCGATCCTTCTCCTCTTCCTCCTCTTCCTTCTCCTCCTCCCTCCTCCTCCTCCTCCTCCTCCCTCCTCCCTCCCCCTCCTCCCTCCTCCTCCTCCTCCTCTCCTCCTCCTCCTCCTCCTCGATCCTTCTCCTCCCTTCTCCTCCTCCTCCTCCTCCTCCTCCTCCTCCTCCTCTCTCCTCTGTCCTACTCCTCCTCCCTCCTCCTCCTCCTCTCCTCCTCCTCCTCCTCCTCCTCCTCCTCCTCCTCCTCCTCCTCCTCCTCCCTCCTCCTTCTCCTCCTCCATCCTCCTCCTCCTCCTCCTCGTCCTCCTCCTCCTCCTCCTCCTCCTCGTCCTCCTCCTCTTGCTCCTCCTACTCTTCCTCGATCATTATCCTCCCTCCTCCTTTTCCTCCCCCTCCCCCTTCTTCTCATCCTTCCTCATGCCTTTTATATGACTCCTCCCTATGGCGCCACGAGTCCGTTCGAAAGGGCGTGCCCTGCGTTTCGTCTGAGACTTCTTCGCCATTTATGGCACTGAAATTTGAGCATTGGCAACAGGTTCATTGATGGACGGCGGGTGGTTTTCAAAATGTGGCTCTCGCCATACCGCCACGCACATCCGTTTGTTCGAACTTGCAAGAGCTTCACGGATGGAGGAAAGAGCGTGTTCTACCGCTGCTGGTGGAAAATTGGGAGGGGTCACTAGGGGTTCCTAACCCGTCCCCCCCCCTCCCTCGAAAACCGAGGGGGGGGTCACTACCAGTTCGAACCCCTCCCCCCAGTCCATCATGAAAAGGGGGAGGGGGGGGTCACTACCGGTTCGACCCCCCCCCCCCGCCCTGTCGAAAACCGGGGAGGGTCACTACCAGTTCGAACCCCCCCCCCCCTCGAAAACCAGGGGTGGGTCACTACCGGTTCGAACCCCCCCCCCAGTCCATCATGGAAAGGGGGGGGTCACTACCAGTTCGAACCCCTCCCCCGCGAAAACCTGGGGGGTCACTACCGGTTCGAACCCCTCCCCCCTCCCCCCCCCTCTGCCGCCGGCAAACGATGCCCGCTCCTCGGGACAGTTGGAGAATAGTGGGGATGTTGGGACAGTGGTGGGAACGGTGGTGGTGGGGACAGTGATGCGGGGACAGTGGGACAGTGGTGCGGACAGTGGGGGTGACGGTGGTGGTGGGGACAGTGGTGAGGGGACAGCGGGACAGTGGTGGGGACAGTGGGACAGTGGTGGGGACGGTAGTGGTGGGGACAGCGGTGAAGCCGGTGGTGAGGACAGTGGTGGGACAGTAGACCAGTGGGGAAAGTGGTGGGGACAATGGGGACAGTGGGACAGTGATGGGGACAGTGGGGACGGTGGGACAGCACAGTGGGACAGCGGCGGAGACAGTGGGACAGTGGTGGGAACAGTGGGGACAGCGGGACAGTGGTGGGGACCGTGGGGAAAGTGGGGAGAGTGGGATTGGTGGGACAATGGCGGGGAGACTGTGGACAGTGAGACGCTGGTGGGGGCATTGGTGGGGACAGCGGGAACAATGGTGGGAACAGTGGGGACAGTGGGACAGTGGTGGGGACGGTGGTGGTGGGGACAGTGGTGTGGGGACAGTGGGAATGTGGTGGACACAGTGGGACAGTGGAGGGTACAGTGGTGGTGGCGACAGTGGTGAGGGCGGTGGCGAGGACGGCGGTGGGATCATGGGACAGAGGTACAGTAGGGACAGTGGTGGGGACAGTGGGGACAGTGATGGGAACAGTGGGACTGCTCAGTGGGACAGCGGCGGGGACAGGGGATCAGTGGGGACAGTGGGACAGTGGTTGGGGCCGTGGAGAAAGCGGGGAGTGGAACCGTGGTGGGGAACAGTGGTGGGGACAGTGGGGACAGTGCGACAGTGGTGGGGGCACTGGTGGGGACAGTGGTGACGGTGGTTGGAACAGTGGGGACAGTGGTGGTGGGGACAATGGTGCTGGGGACAGCAGTGATGGATGTGACGCGGACGGTGGTAGGGACCCGGGAGTCGTTTGCTGGCGGTGAGCGTGGAGGGGGGGGAGGGGTTCGAACCGGTAGTGGTCCCCCCCCCCTCTCTGGGGGGGGGGGGGGGCTTCGAACAGGTAGTGGCCCCCCCCCCCCCCCGGTTTTCGAGGGGGGGGGTCGAACCCGTAGTGACCCCCCCCGGTTTTCGAGAGGGGGTTCGAACTGGTAGTGACCCCCCCCCGCTTTTCGAGAGAAGGGGCGAGAGGGGGAGGTTTCGAACCAGTGGTGACCCCCCCCTGGTCTTCGAGGAGGGGGGAGGGGCTCGAACCAGTAGTGACCCCCCCCGGTTTTCCGGAGGGGGGAGGTTCGAACCGGGAGTGACCCCCCCCGGTTTTCCGGAGAGGGGGGGGGTGAGGGGAGGGGAGGGGTTTTGCCTGGAAGGAGGGGAGGGGAGAGAGGGGCTCCAGCAGGGAGGGGATTTTCGGAGGGGGGCGGGGGAACCCCGGGCTCTGGAGGAAGAGGGGGGGGAATTTTCCATAGTAAAGCGGCGGTGGATCACGCTCTCTCCAACGTTTAAACAATATACACAAGATGCAAGAGTTTCACAGATTGAGTGTGGCTCGTTTTCTAAATGCGGTTGTCGCTTTAGCGCCGCGCACATTCGTCTTAATGGGGGGATGTGATTAAAAAATCCCCCCCCCTTCGGACCCCCCAAAATGATTGACTGGGGCTGACTAATAGAATTCAGCCGCCGGAAATTGTTTTTTTAATCGTCCGCCCCCCGGCGTTTGCTTTTGCCCCTTTGGGGGAACTGATTTTCTATTCGTCCTCCTTGCTCGCTTGATCACCCGCGGCCGCGGGGGGAGGATTGCGGAGGGGGGACGGGGCAATTAGGGAGTAGTTGAGGGAAGGGGTTTTCGAAGAGGCGCTTGATCACCCTCGTCCTTGCGGACGGCCGCCGGTCGTCCTTGCGGACGGTCGCGGTTGGGAGGTGGGGGCAAGGGTAGAAGGAGGAGGAGGGGGAGGAGGAGGAGGAGGAGGAAAAGGAGGAGGAGGAGGAGGAAGAGGAGGAGTGGGGAGGAGGAGGAAGAGAAGAAGGAGGAGGAGAAGGAGGAGGACGAGGAGGAGGAGGAAAACGAAAAGGAGGAGGAGGAAGAGGAGGAGGAGGAGGAGAGAGGAGAGGAGAGAGGAGAAGGAGGACGAGCTCGCCCTGAAAAATCACCCCGTCCACCCCCCTGGTCCCCACGCCCTGGATCGCCCCCCGTGCCCCCCCCCCCCCGGCCTTCCAGGCAACAAGGAATTGTCAGCCCCCCGTCTGCCTGCCCTGCACACACGCTATTGCGGGGGCGAGGACGCCCGCGAAACAATTGTTTTAATCGTCCGCCCCAGAAAGTTGTTTTAATCTTTCCTCCCATTGAACTTTTGCATCATTTTCACGGATTGAGGGCGGCTCGCTTTTTTAATGTAGTTCTCGCCTTAGCGACGCCCACGTTCGTGTTAACCCTCTGAATAAGTTTCACAGATTCCAATGGTCAACGTACCAGAAATTGCGCCTTAAAACGATTCAGGATTGTCAGGGCGCAACAGTTTTGTTGATTCGCGGCGTCGGAGTCCCAGGAATTACGATCTGGCACGATTCAGGACTGCAAGGACGCAACAGTCACGTTGATTCGCGGCGTTGGAGTCCCGATAATGGTGTTTTGGCACGCTTCAGGGTCTTCAAAGCGTTGTCTACCAACGGGGCATTTCCTTCAGTGGAAATGAATCTTTGTAAAGGGCCTATAAAGAGGGCGCTTGGAGGGAGGGTTTCTTCCAACATCGTTGATTGATGGGTCTTGGGCTTACACTGATCCTTCAGACTCCTGCCACTCCTCCTCCTCGTCCTCCTCCTCTTTTTCTTCCTCCTCCTCCTTCCTCCTCCGCCGCTCCCCAGCCCCAGCCCCCCCTCCCGGGGTGCGCTGACCCGGGCTCGAGTGCAGGATCCTCCAGGGATCCTGCGGAGCCCGAGTGGTCCAGGTTTGGATCGACCCGGGCCAGCCGGTCCCCGACGGCCGCCCGCGCCGCCGCGCGGGCGCCGCGCGGCGGCGCCTCCATCTGCCATATGCCTCCATATCCTCCTCCTCAGTGGGTCCTGCAGTGCACAGTGGAGGCCCATGCCAGGAAACACCCTGCTTGCCTCCAGGCAGCCCCGGGTTTCTTGGATGTCGATGGCTTTGCGATGGAAAGCGTGACGTTCCCACACCAAGAATCGATTGGCGTCCTGGGGTCTCAGGGTTTGGTTTCTTGTGGGAGATTTCGTGTGGAGTGGCCTCCACTGTAGGCCTCCCAGATGGGGACGCAGTAGATGGGGTCGGATGATCGCGCCGCATCGGCGATGCTTTGGCGATGCGGCTCGTTGTGGAGCTCGATTGTATCCATGCCGGTGCCGCCGATGCATCGTCGATTTTTCGCCGATGCATCGCCGATGCGGCGCGATTTTCCGACCCCATCGACTCGGACCCCAGCTGGGAGGCCACCCTAAAACGACTGGGCAGTTGTTCAACCGTTTTCGTTCCGTTTTTTACCGTTTCCGGCAATTTGTTGTAACCGTTTCCGGCACCGTTGTTTTACATTCGTGGTGCCATTTAGTGGGAGCTTGGTCCGGATCACACTTTTGACCGGATCCGAACAGTTTCCGAACCGGTTTCGAATGTCTTTCGGATCCCAGGATTGCCCATGCCCAGGCCGTTTCGGTGCACAGTCGTTGTACCGTGTCGGTGATTTGTTGTTTGTTGTTTTCATCATCAAGCGGCAGTCTTGTGGAAGGGAAGAACCAAACAAAACCAACCAAACACCC